CTCTTAAAAGTGACCTTCCCCTTGCCCTTCCTCCTACCACCATAATAAACTATGAGAAATGACTTTATCTCAGTTTGTAGAACATCCCTATTTTCTGGATGATTGCATGTCTGTTTTCCTAATATCCCTGGGGGTTATTTGTCCCTCAGTACAATCCTTGGTGAATCCGATACCTTTGGTACTGGTTGCCTTGATATTGTTCTCATTTTGGCTTCTTGTGTGAATTTAATTACTGTACTTAATTTAAAATTGAAGACACAATAAATGACTGGATATCATTTATTGGGTCCTGTGGCCGGTGGTCTGCATCCTTAATTCATAATCAAGGATCTTATGTTCAGTCCCTGGGCAGGACAAAAATGATTGGGCATGTTGCCTTTCACCTGATGCCTTTGTTCACCTAGCAGTAAATACTGTAGGTACCCGTGGGTTAGTTAACTGTTGTAGGTTGCACCCTGGGAAAGGTTAGTAGTTGATTTAAATACAGATGTACTATCTCTGACATTGAGAATTATGATTGCTAATCTTTTCCCATGTCTGGCCTCCCAACCCCATGAAGGTGGGAACAGAGATAGGAGGATGCTGCAAAGTGTTTCAATAAGGGATATGACCAGTTTCCAACACGTTTTAAACAGCGCTGTACCCTAAACACATTTGAGAGTTGCCTAAGTAGTAGTAGTAATAATAATAATAATAATAATAATGATAATAATAAGTCTTATTTATATAAAATACATTTGAGACATAACACAGTGGGGTATTTGTAGGTACCTAGTGTAACTCATATAAACTACTAATATGCATAACGTTTTGGAATTACACTGAAATGCATTATGTTTTATACTTTCTTATTAGCACGATGAAAATAATTTATACTAATCATAATTTTTATATACTGTCCCTGATTTTATCAAGATATTGCAGCTTGAAATGCTCTTCTAATATGAATAACAAATTATGTACCATCAAATGTGGCCTATTGCCGTGATGTTTCTCCTGCCACTAAAATGAGAAGTGGGAAATGCCTCTGGTATTTAGGTAGAACTCTGGTAGAATGGGTAGAAATCTGAATAAGGAAATCCTGTCTGGAAAATGTTGCAAGCACAAATGACCATCTTAGCAACAGTGTCCGCAAGTTCAATCAGGGTAACTCTAATATGGTTGGGAACCCAGCAAAATTCAACTACCAGTATCTTATAACGGTTAGATATAAGAAACAACCAGTATTGAATTCTAACCACCATATTGGGCTCACAGAATTAACTCACGGGCATTGATTGGCCCCAAACAATTAACACTTTTGTCTGGTGGGGACGAATATTGCGTCCATAAATAACTCTACGGCTGTCCGGTAGGGACGCATGTTGCATTCAAAATGAAAATATTTGTTAAAATTCCATTTATTTTCCGATCATTATGGGACTAGTTTTAACATGCATGCCTTTAGATTGTGAACTATTTGATATATTGAACGACATAGCATGAAAATTGAGGTGAGAAAGCTGAACAGAGTACTGTATACACATTTTGGTGTTGGTGTGCAGATGGGTGCTTGCTCATGGGTAACACTCGGCGAACTTTCTAGTTTGCTGTGGGTAGCGCGCCTGTTTATTTTTATCTTATATACATGTATTCCTTTCGAAAATTCTCTTGCAAACAAATGGATACCAAAATGAATGATGTAACACGAAAATTGACGTGAAAAACTGAAAAGAGTTTGCACATTTTAGTGTGGGTGTTAGGTGTGCAGATGGGTGCTCACTCACAGGTGAAGCTTGGCCAATTTTAGGGTTTGCTGCAGGTGGCATGCCGTTTTTTTTTTTTTTTACCTTGTATGTATATATCCATTTAGAGAATTCTATTGGGAACAATTTGATACCAAAACAAATGATGTAACATGAAAATTGACGTTAGAAAACTGAAAAAGAGTATGCACATTTTAGTGTGGGTGCATGCTCATAGGAAATGCCAGGCCCACCTTGGGGTGGGTTGGGGCGCGCACGTTGGGAACATGAAAGTGTTAACGTATGGTTACTGATTAGCCCAGCACAATTAATTCACGTTTACTGATTAGTCCCACACAATTAACTCATGGGCACTGATTAGCTCCATACAGTTAACTCGCAGTTACTGATTAGCTCCACACAATTAACTCACAGTTACTGATTAGCCACACACAATAAACTCACAGGCACTGATTAGCCCCACACAATTAACTCACGGGCACTGATTAGCTCCATACAATTAACTCACGGTTACTGATTAGCTCCACACAATTAACTCACAGTTACTGATTAGCCACACACAATAAACTCACAGGCATTGATTAGCCCCACACAATTAACTCACGGGCACTGATTAGCTCCACAATTAACTCACGGACATTGA